GGCTAAAATCTAAAATTGTGCAACTCGCTTTAAAGTAACTGTTTGTATTTAGTGTAAGTTAATTCTTTATTTCAGATCCCAACATTCTGAGAAATAGTTTCACTAGGTAGCATAATGCCCTGAATTATATATGCTTAAATCTTATTGAGAACGCTAACTTTATGATTAAACTAAAGAGTTATCTAATAAGGGAATATGGTTCACTTAGCAATTACATAACCAGGTATGAATGATTGGAATACATTATAAGGTACAGCCGAGTCAATACCATCCTTCATCTAGATTATTGTCCCATAATCTTCAGGAATTAGCCAGTAAGCATTATCAAAGTCAAACACAAATTCAACGCTATTCGTAGACACGTGCTATCCACCTTTTGGACTGTAGTTGACTAGTTACTTACAACTCTATGAGAGGGAATCGAAACTACGTCTCAAATAAATGCGATGCCTACGTTAGTTTTCAGTCCAAAGCCTTTGCAGTTTGGTATCTGAGGCTCGCAAGGGAGTCAAGAAATATACAGAAACCTGACAATAGATCAGAACATCCTGAAACATTCTTGTTAACTTGATAAATACGATCACCAAAATACCAAAAAGATTGATAATTTATTCATAATGTCTCCTTTTTAGGGCCAGTGTGGCTCCTGCTGGGCCTTTTCGGCTACCGGTTCTCTTGAAGGTCAGTACAAGAGAAAGACAAATCAACTTGTCAGCTTATCTGAGCAACAATTGGTGGACTGTTCCAGGAATTTCGACAACGAAGGTTGCAATGGAGGGTTGATGAACAGCGCATTTGAGTACTTAGAAGAAAATGCCATTGAATCGGAGGCTTCCTATCCTTACGAAGCCCGAGTAGGTTTACTACATATTTATGAGTACAACCTAAATCAATAATACCAAGTTTAACATCTTTATTATATTCCCATGTACGCATAGTTTTATTAAATATATACATTCTTGTGTAAGATTAGTATTGATTAATACATGTTTGGACACCAGATTTCATCCACTTCGTATTAATTGCGTTTTTGTGACTGAAGTTTTTATCAAATTTCACATTGTTTACAACCTATTTTGTGATATCAGAATTTGTCAATGTATGTAGCAATGATAGGGATTAAAATAAATAGCTAGTGATACTAAGTAGAACAGAAACTACAAATCTAAATAAAATTCCATAACAAATCTTTTAATATATATTTAAATTATTAAATTATAAGTCAACATATTTTGCCGTGCATC